TTTAAGAGTGGATATATAAGTTGATAAATTCCATGAAGTCTGTAGAACTGGATACTGGATTATTAAGGGGATATGAAACAAGTATTTGGCTTAAAGAAAGCAGTCAATCCATGTATTTTTAAGACCGAAAAGTTCCAATTCACATGCTACCCTTGGTGGTTGCTAAGCTGAACAAAATGGTGGAACAAGGAATATCAGAAAAAGTCAGCCAGGGTGGTAGCAATTGGGCTTCATCCATTGTGGTGATACACAAGCCCAGTGGAATTTTAAGAATTTATGGTGATTATAAGGTGGGTGTGAATCACCAGATCTGTTTGGATTCATTCTCATTGTCAAACATTGAAACAGTGTACCATGAGTTTGCTGCTATGAAATACTTTGCTAAAGTTGAGCTTAAGTCAGAATATAATCAGATAAAAATTGATAGAAAGATTCAAAAAATTATCACAATGAATGCCTCTATTAGATTAATAAAATGGAGTTTATGAAAAATCTTTACCTAGAATATCAAATATCCAAAGATGGTATATTGCCAGATAATAAACTCATTAATAAGATATCAGAGATAGCTAAACCCAGAAATAAAATAGCGTTAAAATCTTTTTTTACGATTAACCAATTTCTCTAGCAGATATCTGCTGCGTTATAGTGATCTTGTGGAATCGTTTAATGAAATAAAGAAGAAGAATATTGATTTTGAATGGACAAAAAAGCATGAAGTTGCTTTCAAGAATATAAAAAAGGCACTCATAAACAAACCAGTTGTTAAAATTTTTGACCCAGCAAAAGAATTGACATTAACTGCTGATGCCAATGACTGTGCTACAGCTGCAATATTGTCACGAGAGGATTACCCTGTAAAGTACTTATCCAGAAAACTAACATCGACGGATTCATACCTTTCCCAAGGGTATTTGCACTGTTATGGAAAACCTGTAAAATCAGATTTACTAATTTTAGTAAGGCTCAAAGACAAGTTGAAGCAGGAATTTCTATTGCATCAATCTTCCAAGTGTGGAAGGAATTTGAAAATCTGGATTTTTTTTCTGTGCCTGATATTAATGGGAAACATGGAAATATCCCAACCAGGAGACAATCCCATCATGTCACAAGTACAATACCCCATTAGGGTCACCATAAGTACTGCAGACAAAGCAGTAGCAATGTATCTATAGATAGTCTGACAGAATTCTGAGTTTTCCTTCTCCTAGACTGGTTACCACCTCAAGTCAAAAAGAGCTCAATCAGCCCTGCTGAGGGAGGGAAAGGATAGATTCCTAACTTTCCCAAGGGTATTTGCATGAAAGTAAATCCAATGAACTTGTTTGGAATTTGAACTCAGCTCATCATTTTCTTCTTTTTTTTTTCAATAATGTTCACTCTATACAAGGCCCAAGAACCACTCTAGGTAGAGGGTTACAGAGTAAGAGGTAAAGGGCACAGTGTATGAGGATATGTGGGGAACATAACAGTTAACCCTAGACTTGAACAGGTCAGTAGTGATCAGGGAAGCATCCTCTTAAGAGTCAGTTGTACAAAGCAGTGGTTCATGGGAAAAAACTGCTCAAGTGGAACTTACATCTCACAAATGGAATACAAAGGAAATGAGGATGGTTTGCTACAACATGTGTGGCATGGCTGGTCTTAGCTGTGAATGTTAGAACTGGTGGAACTAAGAAATGTATTTCGTCTGAACACTTTCCATGGAAACAGTGATAGAGTAGTGAGAAGCGTACAGAATTTCGTCTGTGGATAGGGAGTTGCTGGGTGGAAAATAATTCATTATTCACAAGGCTGCATAGTTACTTTTGAACTCTATCAAGACCAGAAATTGAAGATTCAGTAGCTCCTGCCCAGTGTCCATATATGACAGCAGTACTCTGTTTCTGGTCTGATCTGGCCCTTGTAATAGTAGAGCTTAGCAGGAGGAGTCAGGTACTTACTGGAGCAGTACAGGGAACTGACCATTTTTCCAGCATCTGTAGTGATGAGTCATCTGCATGACCAATTTGTCTTTCTGAATCACTGTTATAATATCTGTACATCCCATTAGATCGAGGGTGTCAAATATGCAGCCTGCGGGCCAGATCCAGCCCACCAATGGCTTCAACGTGGCCTTGGAAACAATTTTGAACAAACTGAAACCTTGCAATGTTTTTCTTGCCTGTACTAGCTGGCATTTAAGAGATTAATCTCACAGCTTATTTGCATTGTCTAACATGCCAGATAGGAAACATCCAACCAGTTGGGATACGTCAAAGGTTTGTATTGCCCGAGCTGACAGGAGGCCACGCGTCTAAAACTGGAAATGCCTACACATCTCTCTCTCTCTCTGTAATAACAAGGAGATTGTGTTTAATATTATATCTTGGCATTTCAGAAACCAGCCTAACATATTACCTGTGTATATTGTGGCATTGCTTTTAAAATTCGGTTAAATTTCCACTATGTAATTGTCAAAAAAAATGAAAGGTTGATACAGAATGCAGAATATTCCAAGAGAAGTGGACAGATTTATATTTTTTTACATCTGTAAATGGAAAGTCTGTGTGTTTAATATGCATGCAGCAAATTTTTGTTATGAAGGAATATAACATTCGCTGGCATTATGACAGTCACCATAGCGATAAATTTAGAAATTTGAAAAGGAAAGCAAGGACAGACAAAGTAAAGGAATTGTTGTCTAGTTTAAAGAAACAGCAGTCCATTTTCAGTCATAGTATGGAGGTTAGTGATGCAGCTGTAACAGCCAGCTACTTCATTGCTAAAGAAATTGCTGCGACATCCAAGCCATTCTCTGATGGTGAATTTGTGAAGAAGTGTTTGCTGAAAGCTAGAGAAATTGTCTGTCCAAAAAAAACACCGGTCTTTTGCTAATAAAGGGTGTTTCATTAAGATGGATTATATATAAGGATGTTTCATTAAGACGGATCAAAGTCGGCAGTGTTATTCGTGAAAATTTATTTATTTCTCTATTGGGCTATGTTATTTAAGTCATGGCAATTATGTGTGAAAAATAATATCACCCAAATATCTGCCAAAACTAAAAGAAAAAAAAATCATTAGATGCTTAAACTTAATTCACATTAAAATCGGTCCAAGTTATTAGAGCACCTTTTATAAGCTTGACAAGGAACACTATTTCCAATCGTATTTTAGACCTTGCAGCTGATATAGATGGCCAACTCAAGGAAAAAGTGGCATCTTTAGTGGCATTTTCAGTTGCTATTGATGAGAGTACTGACATTACAGACATTGCTCAGCTTGCAATTTTCATCCATGGAGTTGATGCATGTTTAACAGTTATTGAAGAGTTTGTTCAGTTAGTACCAATGACAGGAATGACAAAAGCTGAAGACATCTTCGGTTCACTTGTTGGTGCCTCAAATAATGTTGGAGTAGACTGGATTCATGCTGTCAGTGTTGCTACAGATGGTGCACCTTTAATGACTGGAAAGAAAGCTGGTGTTGTAACAAAATTGAAGGAGAAAGTGCATACTGCAAATGAAGGGTTAGGCTTCTGGACTTTTCATTGTATTATCCATGAAGAGGCATTATGTTACAAGTCACTGAAAATGAACCATGTGTTAAAACTGTTAACTTTATACGTTTCAGAGGCCTCAGCCATTGTCAATTTGACACTCTTCTTACTGATAAAGATGTTGGCCATGGTTTGCTATGAAGTGTTTTTTTTTTTACTACAAAGGGAAATTGTAAACGTCATTGAAATAAAAGAGAAGACAGTGATACAATTACAGTCCCTGGAATGGGTACAGGACCGTGTATTTATGGTGGATATAACCGGTCATTTGAATAACCTGAATAGAATGTTGCAAGGTCATAACAAAGTTGTCACACAGTACTATGACAGCATATGGGCCTTCGAGTCTAAACTTGTTTTGTAGGAGATGCAGTTGTCAAACAACAATCCTGCTCATTTTCCATGTCTAAAAGATATTTGCAATGCTGGAAGTGCTGAGGACTTGGGTTAGTACAAAGAGAAAATTACCAGTTTGCTTCAACAATTCAAGCAGCGCTTTGAAGTATTTGATGAACTGAGGACAGAATTCAAAATCTTTTATAGTCCATTCCCTGGGACACCTTCTGAAGTGCCAACCAATATGCAACTTGACATGATTGATTTGCAATGTGACTCAAACTTGAAAGAAAAGTTTGCCTCAGTTGGCCTCAAAATATACAAGTATCTTTTTCTTAGCTATCCCAAACTCAGAGACCTTGCTACCAAAATTTTATGCATGTTCAGAACAACTTACCTATGTGAGCAATTTTTCTCAGTAATGAAACTAGCTGCTTCACAGTAAATCTTCCATAATAAAGATGCACTTGTCAAGGCTAAAGGGTGTTAAGTGTCTGGATCACACTAAGTTTAATAAATGGCTAATATTGTCAGAAAGTTAAAATTAAAGCTTAGCTTAGTCATAGCTTTCTGAATGTTTGAATTTTCTGAAAAGAATTCAGTGTAAGCTAATTTGGTTCATTTCAAAATATTGTATTGCATTATAACGTGTAACAATTTTTATTGAATAAAAACAATACAATTTTCTTCATCTTGATATTTTCTGTACATCTCTGCCTCACTTGATATAAAATTGTGCTCATGTGCCCACCCCTGAATTGAAATCAGTTTGATGCCCCTGCACTAGATGCTAGTGAAATAAAAATTCACAAAAATATGATTAATAAAATAAATGAAGATGAAGAGATGTTTTCATATTTTTTCCAAGGGTATTTGTGTGAAAAGGGAACATAATTCGCTTGGCCATAATTTGAACTCAACTCGACAATTATGTTTCCTGATTTGCTAACTATAACAGTGACAAGACAGCCAAATTAAAAAGAAGTAAGTAAAAAAACATGAAAAAGTATATTTCTGCATTTATGAATTTAGTGGGGCGCTTTTCTTGCTTGTGACAAGAAGTTATTTAATTTTGAAAAGTCTGTTCAATTTGATTGTTTTATTCATTTCTTTTTTTCTTCAGCTGCTTCCAAATGTCACTCCCAAACATTCGGACTTACCAATGGGAGTGGAAGAAAAAAACAGGTTCATTGATGTGCTTCCAAGTGAGTTTACTTAATTATTCTATACATATCAATATATATATATACATATCAATATATATATATATATATATATATATATATATTATTGCAATGAAAGCTTTTTATATTTTTATTGGAATTAAACCTTTTGTATCTTTATTGAAATTTAACTTTTTTTTATCATTTCACCCCAAGCATGGTAATAAAGCCACTAAGACAAAAGGTGTTATTGAGTGTGAAAGAAGAAAAAAAAGTAAAACATTATTCAGGAGTCAGAGCGATAAAAGAAATGGAATCAAAATGTTTTTATCAAAATGAAACCTTCCATATTTTTAATAGCAATTAAACATCTTATTTTATAGAAATGAAACATTTTATTCATTATAGAAAAGAACCTATTTGTCAACTGATTCAATATGAAGGTGATTTTGACAACAGCTTAAAACTTACATATAACCAATACTCCTATTGTATGAATTAGTAAAACATGATAAGACCAAAAATGAGAAAAAATTTATGAAAAAAGTCACAATTTTTGTTTAGGAAAAAGTCACATTTATAATCATGAATTAAGTAGTAATCTTTAATAAATGTTGATTATTAAGATGAATGTTTGAACAGATAAAATTTGCCAGTGTTTGGGATCCTTCTGTCAAGCAACACACAAAAAAAGTTGTTTTTAATTTTAACAAATTCACACTCATCATAAAAATGGTGTGTTAACTTTTAACTTGCATGAAAATATTAAATTTTAATTGAAGTTTTACAATGTTCCCTTTTATTAAAAGATCTGTGTTTTTCTGTGATATTTTTCCTACAAGATGGCCTAAAAATTAAAAAAGGAAAAAGCGTTAATACTATTGTAGAGACAAACCCTGTCTAAACATACACTTTCTTTTTTTCACTTTCATTTTTTGTGGCTGATTTAATTTATGCATTGTTCATCTCAAAAATCAAGTAAGATAAAAGGGAAAACTGTGATCATCTCAAAAATCAAGATTAAAGGAAAAACTGAAGTATATTAAATATTAATGAAAAGTTTTGTTCTTTTGTTTTATAATCATTGATATTTCTCTAATAAAAAGGTGCATTTTGAAATGTTTGTGTTGCATTGTGTTAAGGATGATGCGCAATAATGTCAACCCCTAGATAAAAAAATATATCTATTTGATTTTTGTTATGTAATGTAATCTCAGGCATACTGCAACCACAAGCCTTACATAATTTTCATGTCCCTCCTCCTTATCTGCGATTTCATGGTTCCAAGTATTTGCACTCAATTCTAGAAATATTAGATCATTGCAAAAGTTGGTGCCTGATTAGAAAATTAAAACAAAATTTTACATACTCACAAAAAAGTATTTATTACTCAAGTATCCATTGTTTCTAAAAACTGTCTCCTATCATTCTACAAGCTTTTTGATGCCATTTTCATAGAAAGAAATTTGTGAGGTAGTTTTCAACTGACAGGGTGGAACAAATGAAAATCCAATGAGTACTGGAGGGTTTCTCATTTCAACTCTTTATGGCAGTGAATGCTGGACAATGTTCTCACAGATGAAGAGGGGACTTGAAGCAACAGAAATGTGATTCTACAAGAGGATACTGAGAATACCATGGACCAAACATGTGAGCAATGATGAATTTTTATAGAAAATGGAAACAAAAAGGAAATTTATACAAAATATCAGGAAGAGAGAGCTGAAATTTCTAGGGTGCATAATAATAAAAGAGAGACTGTAAAATGCAATATTCACAGGACAGATTGAAGGCAAGAGGAACAGAGAAAAACAACACATAATTTACTTAGGAAATTGATGGTGAAACAAGGTTTAAAGAAAACAAAAAAAGACAAAATTTATTAAAAGATACAAAGAACAGGAAATCTTTGAGAGCCATGATCACCTACATCTTGAAGGGATGCACCACATAGAAGAAGAAGCATCTGTGAGGTCTGTTTTGCAATATGCAGTTTTGCATTGTGGAAAATGACACCTTTTTGATTCGTGAAAATCTGCCATTTTTCTTGAACGTAAGTCTCTTCAAATGGTGAAAGATCTCAATTTTCAAACTCTTAATAATCTCTTTGATCAAAATTTTCAATTTATTGTACACAATGGCAAGGAGATCATCTTCATCAACGTCAGAAGGTTGCCTGAAATGTGGTTGATCATTTAGGTTAAAATCACCCTGACAAAATCTGTCAAACCACTTTTTGACTGTCCAAAGACCCGGAGTACAATCCAAATAAATCTTCTGAACATTTTTTTCTCACAGTTCCAATGCATAATAGAGCGAGATTGCAACTTTTCATTTTTTAAACTAGAATGCAGGTTAACCTGCATTCTAGTTTAAGCTAATCAGTATAATTAGGGTATCTTATGTTTAAAAAAAACAAGAATTATCCCCCTTGATATATTGTTTACTTTTGAATCCAAATTCAAATTTAAATGATTTAAACAATTATAGCATATATATATATATATATATATATATATATATATATATATATATAATTGTAGTAAACAAGACATCTACAATAAACTATAACATACAACTACTCCTGATCAAGTGGAATAAATTACATGTAGACTAGCAAAAATTATTAATAAATCAGAAATTCAACACTATAAAAATTTAAAATAAATGAACAGTCTCTACAAAAGGCTCTATCAAAATCTTCAAAATAAAATGGATAAATTTATTAATATTTCCAACTTTGAGTTTACTAAGCATCAAAAAGAATTGCTCAACCTGGGACCCAGCTGCAATATAATTAAAAAACTGAAATCTAGTTGCTATATTGAAACATCAAAAAACTTCAGGACAAACAACTGATCACAACAACACCAGAATTTTGGGACTTACTCAGGGAATGAGGGAAATAAATGGAAGTATACAATTCATGAAGGCCCTAAGATCATCCAAGAATATGCATTGAGTTGGAAAAATGTCAAGTGTGCAGCTAGGAAAGGGGAAATTATTGCTCCAGCAATCCATCATTTTGTATATGATGAATGTGACAGGGTATGCCTCTTCAATGCCGGCCTTGTAAGTCATAAGAAGAGTAATTTTGTAAACCTTTCACAAATTATGATCAGTACTATACTGGAAATAACATGCAAGGTTTGTCAGAAAACCTGCAGAAACCACTCCAGTCTCAGCCCACAAACAAGCTGAACAATCTTTACAAAGCAGGCCAGGCCTTGTACAAAACAACTTGGTTTGCCACATTTGCAATAAGCTTTGCAAGTCACTTGCAGGCTTCAAGAGCCATTCTTGTTCTCACAAGGACTAAAAACATTGATCAAATTTGTCAGCAGTAGTCATACTTGTTCAATGAGTCAACAGCCATCACACACACACACACACACACACACACACACACACACACACACACATATGTATATGTATATTTAGGCAGCATTAAGCATGTTTGGTTGAATAAGACATTATGTTTATTTTCATTTTAATCCTTTCAAGTTCATGGATCAATTTCTTAGTGTTGTTATTAAACTGATTAAGAAAGACACTGTAGTTTTGGTCATTTCTTTTATTTTCCTAAGTATTTCAATCTCATCCAATATCATTTTCAGGGTTGAATTGCTAAGACAAAAAATTAATGTAATTGATAGTTGTGAACTTTCTAGTAAATGCACATGAATCATGCTCCATTAGAGTCAATTTAAAAATTAATTGTTAAAAATATGTAAGGGAGGTAACTTAATTTGTATTTTTTTTATGATTAATGTTCTAAATTACTCAATTTAATACTGCAATTTTAAAAAATTTTTTTTTTACAATTTGAATATCTCAAAAGTTTTTATAGTCATTTTAAAACATTGTTGATATACTCATAATTAATTGACACTACAAGTATGCTCCATGAAAATAAAAAACAAAAACTTCAAATTCTTGAATTGCTCAATATAAAAAAAAATGAAACCAACACTAAATAAGATTAATTGATCTGTGAATTTGAGAGGATTAAAAAAAATAGACATATTTACAAAATTAAATATGACAAAGTAATATGTAATCTTGCAATTTTCGTTCATAATTGTCATGCCATTTAAGCACAAGAATTAACAAAAGAATAAAGTAAATAAAAAAAAAATAATCCAAGAAATTTGCCATGAAATAAATTAAAATTTTCAAAGATTAAGATGAAAAACATCTTGCTTGTACCAGATAAAAAACAAAATAACTTTTTTGTTTTTAAGGTTAATTTATGATTGATTACTTGCAATTATTTGAGTTTTTTATTTATAAAATTTCTTTATCTAAAATTTAAAATAGAATTTTATTTGAGCTTTTTTCTTTTCTGTCTGTTTCTTTTTCTTTTCCACTTCTTTTTTCTTCTTTGTCTCTTTCATTTCTTTCTCTTATTCTTTCTGCTTATACTCCTCCTTTTCTTCAATCATTTTTCTTTTCTTTGTCTCTTTCTTTTTCTTTGCCACTTTCTTTTATCTTAATCTCCTTTTTCTTTTGATTGAACTCTCTCTTTCTCTCTCCTCTTGCTCATCCTTTTTCTCATCATCATATTTTCTTCTTTCTCCCTCTCATTCCCTAATTCTCATTTTTCTCTCTTTTTCTTTCTTATCATTCTCTTCTTGTTTTTCTTCTTCATTATTAATATTATTTACATAATAATTGATGTTGCTTTTTTTTTTTTTAAAGCACCTGAAACAAGAGTAAAACTTAAAACGATACCAGGTGAAGAAAACTCGGACTATATCAACGCTAATTTTATATCGGTAAGTTTTCATGACATTTTTATTTATCTAAGATTGCAAAATTCACATCATAGTTACTTTTTAAAAAAACAAACAAAAAATGATGGCTATCATAATGTGGCCCCCTATAGAAATCAGTAAACCAAAATATATTTTTTATTTATTTTCTACATGGTATATCATTTAAAAAAAGAAAAAAGAAAGAAAACTCTTGTTGAGAAGATATTCTTTTGTTGATTTTACAAGTATTAAACTGGTCATGTCATCAAAGTGACCAGTCAGATTTGGTTTAAAATTTCTGTTTGATACCGAAAGCCACAATTCAAGCACAAGAGATAAAACCACAAATTTAGTTTGCAACAGTCTTGTACTCTACCTGAGAGTTATACCTATGGAATTAATTATTGGTATAAGTAGGTAAGATTTGAGTTTTGTTAAGACAAGATGTGGAAAATTTATTTTAAGGCAAAGTCTCCTTTTCAGATCATTATAACATCATCATCTTCCTCCCATAGCAATTATTATAGTTATCTACTTGTAAAATCTGTTATACCCAAGGGATATAAAGATGTAGTAGAATTTGAATTTTTAAAGAGATAACTTATAGAATCCAGGTTTTTAAAAAATATCTTATGGAGTCCAGTGTTTAAAGACGTATCTTATAGTGCACAAAGCTATATATATAAATTTCTCAATTAGAATGGTAGCAAGGTCTCATAATTTTACAGTTGAAATGGTTAGATGTAACTGTAAGTTCTATGTTAACAGTTTCTTTTGTAATTGGATTGGTATTAATGACATGAAACTAAAATGCATAAAACATATAGCGATAACAACAATAAAAACTTGAGACATGTGTTGACATAACAAGAATTTTATTTTCCTTTTGTGATGTGAATTACAGAATATAGGTATGGTGTGTGTAAAAATGTTCTCAATGTTTCTTTTGTTTAAAAGTCAGTGCTTACTTGGTTTGGTTCAAAGAATTTCGTTTGTGAGGATGGCACTTGAAATCATGTATTTTTGATCTTCATGGAGTGTTGGCTAGACATGTGTTTCTGTAGTGTTTTTCAATTTTTTTTTTCATCTGAACACTTATAAAACAAATATTTTTAGATCTATTATCTTACTGTAGACATTTTCTTTGTTTTGATTTTAAATAAACACATTTTTTTGCTTTTCACTTGTACTTATTTCTTGGAGTGATACCTTTAGACTTTTTCTACATATAAAAACTTATATAAAAATTCTAGAGGCTAAGGTGGAAAATAAAATAGAAAATAAAATTTTCTCCCCACCCATAGCATCAGTTAGTAGAACTTGTATCACTAAATCATTATTATCTGAAAAAATATTCTTTGACTTTAAATAACCTACGAAAGGTTAATAAAAAAAAAAACAGATCAATCAATATACAACTTTATGAAGCTAACATTCAGATATTTTTATATATAGTGCTCAATATTACAAATATTGAAATAATATTAAAAAGAGAGCGTTAATAATATCATATGAAAAGATTACTTAACTTTAAATATTAGTTTTTTGTTATTTTCCCCGACTTCAAAATTTCTTGATAATGTTTAATTTTTTAATTACTAATATTTTAACTTAAGTAATCATTTTATATATATATATAAGAAAAAAATCACTATCAGTTATAATATATATGCAGTTGTGTATGGGCATAAGTACATTGATATACATTCTTACCTTTAGGCTATGATTTGTAAGTTTCTATATGATATTTGCAGAGATATACGTATGTTGGTATATATATGTGTAGATATTTATATGCAATGGTAAATATTGGCGTGTATTTAGATGTGAGGATGCTTATATGCACACGTGTGTGGGTACATATTTGTATGTATAAAAATGTGTATATGGGCTTGTATATGGATATGTGGATATATGTGTATATATATATATATATATATATATATATATATATATATGTGTGTATATATGTGTGTGTGTATTTGTAAAGTTAGGTAGGTATATGTATATATATTGATTCATGTGTATGGGGTTGCATATATATATATATATATATATATATATATAGAATTATGTATGTGATGTATATAAATATATGTATAAGATATAGTTGTATGCATATATATGTATATATGCGTGTATGTTTGTATAAATAGAGATTTAAATGTATTACCTTCTAATTCTTGTATTACCTTCTAATCTTAATTCATCTTGAAATAATTTCTAATTAGACTTGAAAAATTAGAAACTTTACTCATCTGAAGATAATTTCAATTTAAATTGATCACTTAGATTTAAATTTAAAAACATTACTCCGCAACCATTATTCACAATATTAAAAATATTTTTTTTTAAATTTAAACACTTAATTCACTATCTAACGTTAACTATAAAATTTAAGGGAAAATTTAAATATGAATAAAGAGGGATGTGTGTGGAAATATGTATATGTATATGTAAATCTTTGTGTATGCATATGCGTGTATACCAATGTGTATCGATACATGTGTATGTGGTTATATATGTAATTGTACACGTATATGAATATATGTGCATTTACATAAATATGTATGTGGTATGTGTATGTAAAAACAGTAAATTCTTTTATTATTACCTTCAAATCTTACTTCATCTTGATTTGAAACTTAAACTTTAATTAAGAAATATTACTCATCTAAAAATAGCTTCAGATTAAATTGATGAATTAGACTCTAAATAAAAAAGATTTTACCTTAACTGTCATTCACAATATTAAAATATTACTATTAGTAACTTTTTATTTTTATTCTTATATTTGTTTATTAATATAATATTCAGTTTATATTAAATCCCTAATTTATTTGTGGAGAAGTTAAATATTTATATTTTATATTTAAATTGCTATCAAGCATTAAATCTAGTTTATTTGTGAAGTTTTTAAACATTTAAATTACTATCAAACGTTAAAATCTGTGTTTTTCTAAATTGCCCAAACATTAAGCTATACCACCCCTCTCCTTCCTTCAAAACTCTATGTCCATCTCTTATTTCTGATCTCTTTACTTCCCGCCTTTTTTCTTTTTACCTTTTTTTCCAATATCATTTCTGGTGAGTTAACCAATTAAATAGGTCAATGTCACTTTTAAATGTTGTTATTCCCCACCCCGACAGACAAATTGTCCATATTTTATCCTCCTTTTTGGCCTTGTACCACATTTTTGTATTTTTCAAGATAAATATTACTTTGCACTTTGGTATCTAGATTTTATAAATTTAAGCATAGTACCAGATTAATGGCAAGGTCTCATCATTTTACAGATGAAATTGCAAGAGATTCTTCTCTTGCAATTTCATCTCTTGAAATTACCTTGCTTGTGGAATTCTCTTTCAGCCTCTTGCTTTCCAAGTTTGATCAATGTCAGTCATTATGTTCTAACTTCTTAATTCCTGTTCTTTTATTGTTCTCTCCTTAATAATGTTTTCTTTTTCTTACATTTTCTTACACTTAGTAACCCCTGTGTTAGTTGCTTTATTGCCTTGCTTGTGGTGAAATAATTAAAAAAAAAAACATGTGGAATGAAGACAAGAGATCGTATCTCAACAAAAACTCGGGTTGAGAAAGAATGTGTGCTTCCTCCTGATACCCAAGCCTTAAAAAGTGATGCGCATCTGTTAGTCAGGTACAGTGAAAGAAAGAAAATATGTAGATATGAACAAGTGTCTTTTCTTTTTTTAAGCAGCAGCAGGTGAAATCTTTTCTTTCTACAGGGAAATATTTACATAACGCACATAGACTAGTAGATAGATTTGCCTATCATTCCAGTTCACACTCTTCCCCAGTCTTTTGAATAGGAGTAGAATTTTTTATACATTGTTTCCTGTTTAGGACTGGGTTTCCAGTTCCTTCTAAAGTTCTTTGGCTTTTTCTTTCACATTTGGTGATGCTTTGTAATTTGGTGGCATTATCACCTTGCTTGGAAAGGTGCCTCTTAATATGTAACCCTCTACCTTGAGTGGGTCTTGGGCCTTGTACAGGGTGAACATCATTTTAGAAGAAAAAAAAATCAATTCTTTTTTTTTCATAAATTGTCTTAAGCATAAACACAGTTTTTTTTCCCTGAGTTCACCCCCAAGTCAAATTATTAAAATTGTCACTATCTAGCCTTCTGTTTAGGATTAGTGTAGTATATGTGCACACCATGAAAAGAATTACCTAGATGCGATCACCCACTGCCTGATAACAGAACTGGAAAAACAAGGGAAAGGAGGAAATGGAAAAAGGTGTGAAGAAAGAAAAGTAGAGAGTAAGTAAGAAAGCGGGAGGAAAACGAAAAGAAAAATGGATAAAAAGAAAAGAGGAAGTGATGGATCTGAAAGATTTTTATTATTCTTTTACCTCCTGAATCTTTTAAATTAGTTGAAGCTTAGCTAAATTTTTGTGGATGGGGTGATGTACATCATATAGAGAAAGGTACAAACATAGTATGGTAGTAATATACATATATAGAAAGGTATATACATAGTATGGTAGTAATATACATATATAGAAAGGTATATACATAGTATGGTAGTAATATACATATATAGAAAGGTATATACATATATGGTAGTAATATACATATATAGAAAGGTACAAATATAGTATGGTAGTAATATACATATATAGAAAGGTACATACATAGTATGGTAGTAATATACATATATAGAAAAGTATATACATAGTATGGTAGTAATATACATATATAGAAAGGTACAAATATAGTATGGTAGTAATATACATATATAGAAAGGTACAAATATAGTATGGTAGTAATATACATATATAGAAAGGTACATAAATAGTATGGTAGTAATATATATATATAGAAAGGTATATATATAGTATGGTAGTAATATACATATATAGAAAGGTATATATATAGTATGGTAGTAATATACATATATAGAAAGGTACAACCATAGTATGGTAGTAATATACATATATAGAAAGGTACATAAATAGTATGGTAGTAATATACATATATAGAAAGGTACATAAATAGTATGGTAGTAATATACATATATAGAAAGGTATATACATAGTATGGTAGTAATATACATATATAGAAAGGTACAAATATAGTATGGTAGTAATATACATATATAGAAAGGTACATAAATAGTATGGTAGTAATATACATATATGGAAAGGTACATACATAGTATGGTAGTAATATATATATGGGTGCATGGTCAAGTGGTTAGAATATTAGCATTCCAATCATGAGCTCTGAATTTTAATCTCACCATGGTCAATTTCTTGGTATAGAGAGACAATCCTAGCATCAAGCACTGTTGAAAAGTGCAAAAATACCTTGTAAGTGAAACTGGGTAGATGAAAGTACAGTATTGCCTTGAGATATGTTTAATTTGTTCAAAGACTGAGCTCATAACTCAAAACACTCTAATCTCAAATCAATTTTCCCCAGAGAAATTAATAGGAATATTTCCAATCCATTCCAGGCCCCTAAAAATCATAATTTACCAAAACTCACCTCCAATTTTTGTATTTGTGGGTTTATTACAGGCAAAAACGTGTGAATAAACAAGAAATGTAGTTTACAAAAAATAGAATAAAAGAAAAAACAAATTGTAAAGAAATACTCTTGAAGCTTGTTACTCACTGCTCCAACCAGCCGATGTTTAACTGAAATTCACTTGTATCTCAAAATAAAAAAAAAAAATTGGCCAAATTGGCTTGTATCCCAAAAACTCATATGTCAGTACACTCATATCTCAAGGCATTACTTTATTCAGAAACAATGAATAGTTGTACCAGCACAAAATCACAAGTCATCATGACTGATGGTTTGAGTATACTAGGATTGTTCAAGTACTAATCATGCCAGGTTATGTACTTCCTGCCCAAAACTAAAACTGAAGTCCACTCAACATAGATACAGTATAAACTACAGGTAGGTTCCGTGGTTATTGAGGAAACACGAATATGCCTGTGCATGTGTATGTATGTGGGATTAGTTATCAACTTAGACAGGCATGTTTGGAAACAAGCAAACAGCTATTGGCACAGTGGATAAAGATGTTGGTTAGATCCAGTGACAGGACCCAAAGAGTGTGAGTTCAATACCTGGTTAAGGCGGTGGAGAACTTGGGGAATTAATAGGAGATAACTGATATCCATTAGACATGGCACGTGTAACTAGAATAGTCTACACCAGTGAGCAAAATAAAGGTTTCAGTTCAACATTCTAACCACCTGAAGAAGGCCGGAGTGTACAACGGCCGGAACATTGTAATAAATATGACAACAAAGATGAGGACAATAGTCTGAATAATGTAAATAGTGTGCATGGTTGTTAGCAAAAGGAACAACCTGACATGCAAATTACAAATTGAAGATACCAAAATCAAACAAGTACAATAATTTAAATAATTAGGAAGTCTTTTAACAGAAGATGGAAAGTATGGCACTGAAATTTGAAGGCACACTGGTATAGCGAAAGTGCCTTCCAAAAGCTTAGAAAGTCTTAAGAAACAGAAAAATGTTGTTAGAAACAAAGAAAAGAGTATTGAACTGTTACATAATATCATTCCTCCTATATGGCAGTGAATGCTGGACAATCTCCTCACAGATTAAGAAGAGACTTGAAGCAACAGAAATGTGATTCTACAGAAGGATGTTGAGAATACCATGGACGGAACATGTAAGCAAGATTTAGAGAAAATGAAAACCAAAAACTTAATATCAGAAAGAGAGAGTTGAAATTTCTAGGGCACCTAATGAGGAAAGAAGGCTTGGAAAATTTGATACTTACAGAGCATATTGAAAGCAAGAGGGAGAGATGAAAGCAGTGCATATCCTACCTAATGAGGTTGTGTAAATGGTTGGCAGAACAGGGATTAGGAGAGAAAGTGAAAAGACAAAATTTACTAAGAACTACAAAGGGACATGGGATAAGAAGAAGATGCATAATCACATACATTATTGGACTATGTTATTGTAGCATAAATATCATGTCCCAAATATAAAGAATGTGTTCTCTTTAGATGCTCCCACATAAGAGTATGTACCTGAAGAGTAAGTGTTCTCAAAGCAAATTTGTGGCTTTCACAACACAAAGAAAGAAAGAAAAAAAATCACTTGTAACGCGTCAGGAAAATAACTCACGAACGCCGTAGCCACAACTGCCCGAATTTTCCTTCCCCAAGTCGAAAACACCAACTGCTTTTATCGGCAGAACCTATTTTTTCCATACGTCGACAGCCGGGATGGGATGCTCCGTAATTTGCATATTAATATACTCTTATAGCGACTCCTGCGATGGACTTGTTTCTTTTTCGTCACAGAATACAAGCGACGCACTGTCACTTGGGTTGACGAGGTAAGTCGCTATAAGAGTTTTGCTGACTACTTTTTGGCAATCCCTCCCCGGCAGATCGCACACAAAACATGAACTTTTTTCCGGGGTACTTGATTATCTCGTTCACTACAGTACCCACACTCTTTGTTTATGTGACACATTTCTTAAGGAAAGTCCCCCCTTTTAGCTCTTATCAACGTTTGACTATTTACTGTTATCCTTTTTCACCATTCTTCTATCCATTTACATAAACACATTGGATAAATTATATGCTGTTTCTCTCTGCCTGTTCAGCTTTCAATATGTCCTGTGAGTGTAAAGTTCTCCAAGTTCTCCTTCCTCATTATGTGTCCTGGGAAATATCAACTGTTTCTTTCAGATTTTAAGTAACATTTTTAGTTCCCATTTTTGTAAAAACTTCTTCATTGCTCACATGTTCAGTTTATGGTAATTACAACATTCATCACTAGAACTACACCTGTGTTGCTTCAAGTCTCTTCTTCATCTGTGAGGATGTTATCCAGTATTCACTGCCATACAAGAAATTTGATACTGCACAGAAATTTAGCACACTTTTTTATGTTACAAAGGATGTTTTTTTTTATCTATTAATACTTTGCTAAGATGAATAATAAAACTTTCTTTTCATTTATGTTAATTTCACAATATTCGTATATATATATATATATATATATATATATATATATATATATATATATATATATATATATATTGTCTCTAGCTCTTTAGGTTAACTTTGCTTTATTTGCTCTACTTAGCGTATTGAGCACTTTGATTAGTTATTTAACTTTGGAGGTTTTTCTTTGGACTCTGAATGTAGATTCTAGATGATTATTTTTGCTGGAAATATATGTTCTTAGTTCTTTCTTTTTTTACCCTTTTTTTCCCTTGGGTATTGGTTTGTTGATTTACAAGCTAAAACACCTAAGGTTTTGCTGGATGAGTATAACTGCTTATATTTATAAGATTATTAGTGTTATATATATATATATATATACCATGCAGGCATTCAAACGCTTAATTTTTCAATCTCCCATTCCCTCACACAGATAGTTAACTTCCCCACTGTTTTGCCCTCAACCGGTAAGTAAAGCCTCTCTACTCGACCTGTGCTTTACCTCCATCCCCGAATCCTGCAGCGCCTGCAACTATGCCCACTTGGTAACTCTGACCATGCAGTAGTATCGGTTAACATCTCCTTTAACTCCTCCCCTATAAAGAACCTCCTACCACTAGAACTTCGTTCTATTATCAACGAGCTGACTGGGACGCGTTCCATTGATTTCCTCCGCGATGTCCCCTGGGATGGAGTCTTTAAGCTCCCCGTCCAAGAATGTGCTTCTGAGGTCTCTTCCTGGGTTAAAGCTGGAATCGACGCTTTCATCCCATCAAGGAAATACAGGGCTAAGACGCCTCCTGCCCCTGGTTTTGGCTGCTTGCTCAGCCGCCATCGCCCATAGGAACCACTACTTCCACCTATACCGTAGCGACATGTCTGACTGCAATAGACGTCTCTTTGCCGCCGCCCGTAATGATTGTAAGCGTGTCCTAAATGATGCTAAGTCACTATTTGCGGCTCGAATGAAGGAACGACAGCGTCTCGCAAATTTGGCTCCAAAGATTATTGGCGTCTCTGCAAGAGTGTATTGAATAAGTGCAAACCCTCTATACCTCCTCTATTCAACCAGTTCAAGTCTTGACCTCCTCTACCGACAAGGCTGAATGCTTTGCTCGGAAATTTTCATCCAACTCGACGCTCGACTCTTCTGGTGTACCCATA